AGTGCGGGCCCGAGGACCGAGCCCTGGGGGACCCCACTGCCCACATCCCTCCAGGCTGAGAAGGACCCATCCACCACCGCTCTCTGGGTGCGGCCCTCCAGCCAGTTGGCAACCCAATTGACTGTGTGGGGTCGACACCACAGCCCCCCAGTTTTTTAATGAGAACGGGGTGAGAGACAGTGTCAAAAGCCTTCCAGAAGTCCAGGAAGACGATGTCCACTGCTACCCCTGCGTCTAAGGATTTGGTGACCTGGTCGTAGAAGGCCACCAGGTTGGTGTGACAGGACCTGCCAGTGATGAACCTGTGTTGGTTGCCCCTAAGCATAACCTCCCCGGCTGGCCCCTCGTGGACACGTGCCAGGATAACTCTCTCAAAAAGCTTGCCCAGGATCGGGGTAAGACTAACTGGCCTATAGTTCCCCGGGTCCTCCTTCCTCCCCTTTTTGAAGATGGGAACCACATTGGCCTCTTCCAGTCCTCTGGCACCACACCAGAGCACCACGAGTGCTCGTACAGCCGTGCCAGGGGGCCCGCAATGACCGCAGCCAGTTCCCTCAGCTCTCGGGGGTGGAGATTGTCCGGACCCACTGATTTCAATACATCCAGTCCCTCCAGATGCTCCCTGACTAGATCCTCACTGACCCTCGGCCCTCCCCAGTTTACCTGCAGGGAACATGCTGCCCAGCTCCCACATGCATGTGTAAGCATGCACATTCATGTGCAGGTGGCACCCCAGCATGATCACCCTCATCCCACGACCCCTCAGCGCCTTGCAGGAGACTGGAGCTCTGCCAGCCTTCAAGGAGAAACCCACCGTTTCCTGCATTTTTCTCCTTTAAAAAAGAAAGTTCGTGTTTTATTGCAGTGAATGAAAAACCGGGATCCTTGCTCATATGTAACCTAAACTTCTCTTGCTGCAACATGAGCTCCTTGTCCTGTCATCTGCCCTCACTGAGACCAGTCCAGCTCCATCCTCTTTGCAGCCCCCCTGCAGGGAGCTGAAGGCTGCTATTCAATCCCCCTCAGTCTTCTCTTCTCCAGATTAAACCAGCCCAGTTCCCTCAGCCTCACCTCAGAGATCAACCATCAAGGGTTACACACAGTTTCAGAAGGACAGGGCTGGGAGAAAAGGTGGTAGCGATGTCCTGTATGTCAAAAAACTGTGCGCTTGTTCCCTGGCTCAGGAGGAAGGCGACAGCAAAGCAGAATGCATTTGTGTGAAGATGAAAGGTGAAAGAGATGGCACTAATATACTGTTGGGGATTTATTATAGGCCACCTAATCAGAAAGAGGAGGTGGATAAGGCACTCTTCAAGCAGATGACAAATCTATTCGAAAGCTGTGGGTAGGTACGGATGGGAGATTTCCACTTTCCAGACTTCTGCTGGAAGAACAATGCAGCCAAAATGTCAAGCCAGCTCCTAACTTGAGGACGACAATCTTCTGTTCCAGAAAGCGGAGGAGACAACCAGGGGATCCTCGATCTTGGCTCTTGTCCTGGCCAACAGGGAAGAACTGGTGGAGGCTGTGAAAGTGATGGGTAACTTGGGAGGAAGCAATCACGATATGCTAGAATTGCAGATCCTGAGACAGGGAAAGCAGGTGGTCAGCAACATTAGGGTGCTAGATTTCAAAAAGGTGGACTTCACCTGACTCGAGGAGCTAATAGGCACGGGGTCATGGGAAGACAGATTGAGGGATAAAGGCTCCCAGGGGAGTTGGGAGCTTCTGATGATGGACGCAGGATTGGAAGTCCAACAAAACACTCGCCCAACACGGTGGAAGCACAAGATGAACGGCAAGAGACCAGTGTGGCTGCACAAGGAGCTTCCAGGATGCCTCAACTGCGAAAGCAAAGCACACGCGCCATGGGACCACGGGCAGGTCACCAAGGACATGCACCAGGAAATACCACGGACCTGCAGGGACAAAACCAAGAAGGATGAGCTGCACCTGGCAAAAGAGGTTAAGGGCAACAAGAGGGTCTGTAAGTCTGTCGGCCGGAAAAGAAGGAGCAAGGAAAGCGTGGGTCCTGTTAACAAGCCAGGCAAACTCCTAACTGAAGATGCACAGATGACGGAGCTACTCAATGGCTACTTTGCCTCAGTCTTCACAACAAAAGTTTAACTGCCAGACACCTAATAAGCACGATCTGCATAGGGGACAACCTGATGGAGGAGATAACACAAGAGATGGTGAGAGAGCTTTTGCTGGGCGTGAATAAATTCATGTCACCGGGGGCAGGTGAGCCTCATCTCAAGGTACTGAAGGAGCCGGCAGAGGAGATCTTGGAGCCCCTGGCAGTGATCTTCATGAAGCTGTGGGAGACAGGCCACGTATCAGAGGACTGGAAAAGAGCCAACGTAGTGCCCCTCTTTAAAAAACCTAAAGAGGAGGACCTGGGGAACTACAGACCAGTTAACTTCACCTCAATACCTGGGAAGTTACTGGAGCAGATCCTAAGGAAGACCATTTGCAAGCATCTGGAGGAGGAAGGGCCAATTCTAAGCAGCCAGCATGGATTTATGAATAACAAACAGTGTCAAACAAACCAAATCTTCTTCTTGGACAAAGTAGCCACCTGGGTGGATGAAGGGAATACTGCGGATATCGTGCATGTGGACTCCAGCAAGGTCTCACCCAACTTCTCATCCACAAATGGGAGAAATGTGGGCTGGATAAAACTGCTACAAGGTGGGCAGACAACTGGCTCAATAGCCACAAGCAAAGGGTAATTATTAATGGGCCTATGTCACAATGGCAGGAAGTTTTTAGTGGAGTCTCACAGAGGTCTGTCCTGGGCCCAGTGCTGTTCAATGTGTTTATTCATGATTTGGATGTTTGCATACAGACTTCTTGAGGAAGTCTGCAGAAGACAAAAAGTGGGAAGGATTGTGAACACACTGGAGGATGCAATTGCAATTCAGAAGGGTCTCAATGGACTGGGAAGCTGGGCTGAAGCAACAGGATGAAGTGCAATGCAGACAAATGCAAGGTGCTGCATCCTGGGGGGAATAATCAAAAACACAAATGCAAAATCAGGGACCTGTGGCTGGATGCAGCTCTGTGGAGAAGGACTTGGGAGTCTCAGTAGATCACAGACTCAACACGAGTTTGCAGTGCGATGCAGATGCACAAAAGGTGAATGTGGTTTGGGCTGCATCAACAGAAGTATCATGTGCAAGACACAAGAGGAGATTGTGCCTCTCTTCAGCACGGGTCAGGCCTCACCTGGATCCTGTGTGCAGTTCTGGGCTCCACATTTTAAAAAGGGATAGAGGGTCCAGCGGTGGGCAACAAACATGATCAAGGGCTTGGAAAGCAAGTCATACAAGGGGAGGCTAAAGGAGCTGGGCATTTTCAGCTTGTGGAAAAAACACTTAAGGGGGGACATAAGAGCTGCCTTAAATACTCGAAGGGCTTCCACAGAGGAGGAGAAAAGCACCGTTTCTCTTGCAGCAGAGAGGGGAGTGAAGCTGCAGATATGTAGGTTTAGGTTGGATATCCAGAAAAGCTTCTTCACTACCGCAGCAGGGAGGCAGTGGAGCGCCCCCGGGGACGTAGCGGGCTCTCCATCACTGGAGGTGTCGAGAGGAGGTCGGACAGCTACAGGCCGGGAACGTCTCCCCGTCCAGCC